ACTCAGGCTCATCTTTGTTTGTGCTTTTACTTAGCTTGGGACAGTACCAAAAAAATCATGTAATCAACATCTTAAAACCTGTGAAATTCTCTATAATTATGAGCAATTTTTTCACTCTCATGTCTGTAATGCTGGAAAAGGAAAGTTTGAAAAAGGGCAAAACAAATCAAATGTTTTCAAGGGGAATCTATCAAAACTTGATTTACTTACATTAGTAAGAAAACTTTAGAATAATTTAGAATTACCTTATATTCTCCTTTAAAACAATTATCTTAAGTTTTTATAAGGTACAATTGTATCATTTTAATATCCATTTAATGAAGTCCAGGTGTGGATGGCAAGGATTTAACCAGACAAATCTCTTTTAGTATCAATAACCTCAAACAAGTTGTGTCTGTAATGTCTTCATAGTATTTGCAATTACGGAGCTGCAAATTTGGTTATTAGTCTTATCTACTGATACTGATTCATACTGCTTTTTAATAGTGTTTTCATAGCAGAATAATTAACAGATGAACACGGTGCTTTCTGCTGGCAATTAAGCATCGTGATTGGACAGTTAATACTTAGCTACTTAATACTTTATTATACTACAGCTAATCCTTTGACATCTTTAAGATGTGCTTGTTTGTGATTACAGACCTCTGTGTCAGTATTAATTTGATGACAGCTCCAAACAAAAGACGCTTAATTCACTATATTTTCAATGCGATTAAAAAATCAACAATTATTAGCTATGCTGTTTACCTTTGTGCAATACAAATGAAGCGCTGTGAAGTCCCATTTCTTGGCATGTGATGCACTGTACTTCAACATTGCATTCTGTAACATCACAAAAATAAACATATAAGATTGACAATCAAAATTAATCTTAAACATCACTTCAAGTCACAATTACTCCATATGTATGCATACCTGCATTTTTAAAGTGTCAGCTTACTTAAATTCTGTGACAGTATGCTTTTTGGTTTCTGGGTTAATCATGCCATCTTATGGTAGAGACTGGTAACAACAACTGAGACACACTAGAGGAGACATACTATGTCTTGCCAATGAAGGGACAAAGATATACAACGTACCTTCAGCTCATGTGGATTTGTAAATGTCTTGTTTAAAGTTTCCTTGATCAGCTCCCACCGACTTTTATTCTGCAGTTCTTGTGTTTCCTGTGGAAGTATACATTTCAGGTCTGAGATTTTTTTATGCATAAACAATAATACTGTGTTGTTTTGTTGTACTTCATGACTTCAGAGATGTGAGGAATCTTTACAGCTATTGTTGAAGGAATAACTCCAGCCTGGATGAATAAGCACCATACGCTTTGCTATTTTTTGACATCTTGCCAGCTATAATGTTGCAAACTTAGAACTGTTCTAACTATTGCAACTAACAAGCAGGAGTTAAAGTGAGCTGTCAGGATCCGGAGCAGCATTAATGAGTTAGTGAACCACATTTTAGAGTCCATTGAATTCACAAAAATATCAAAGGAGTTGATTTTTTTTTCTGTGTTGCAGCCTGGCACTGCTTACCTCTGATATCAGCGAGAAATTAACGCCACCCCATGGACCCATCTGCACACTGCACACATTGTTTTTTTTACTTCCCATTCCTGTCATGTGTTCAAGTCATTAAAGCAAGTAAAGTTGCAGTTTTTGGACTTAGCAATTCATGAGCAACCATAAACAGAGTTTAAGATGCTTCATTTTTAAATGCAGCTCGACAAATATCAGCAAACATACAAACTCCCTCTGTGCAGTTTGTATCACAACCTGCATCAATTGCTCTATTTCCCTAGAAGAAGAAAAATCTTAAAGTGTGAGAGCTTTACTCTCTGAAATCAAGAAAGAGGCATGAAAGAGAGAACAGGAGAGAAAGATAACATTGAGGTCAAAGGTAAGGCCTAAGCAAGTGACATTTGATGAACAGTAAATTTAAAGGTTATGCATTAAGTTTTAATTAATGCAAGATTTTTTAAAATCACAAAGTACATCGATACATGAAGTGTTCCTGACGTTGTTTATTTTTAATAAAAGTTTTGATTTAATATAAAGAAATCTTTAAAAACTAACTGAATTATGATACGTTTATGTTATCAAAGGTTATTACAGAGAGTAAACAAAGGCTAAACTGGGTAGAGTTTACAGTGATGGCCTATGTAGCACTGGTGCAGAGAAGCTTCTAGCATCCACTGACACTATACAAGTAAGACGTGACACTCAAAACACTATGTGATTAGCTATTTGAGCATGAAGCGTCACTGCCTCATCAGATAGGACATTGCACCATGCACATTTGTCCTAAATATTCTCTTTTCCACATACTATTAATTTACTAGATTAGATTAGATAAAACTTTATTAATCCCTCGGGTAGGTTCCTCTGGGAAATTTGTTTCTATGACTGTTTTTTACATACATCTTGTTTTCTTTTTACATCCATTCATCATCCATAGTTTTGCCATCTAATTATGGTTCTCTTTAGACGTTTTAAATAATTAAATAGTTACCTTCAGTAATGTGTATCATGTGACTGCACTGATTACATAACCCACAACTTAAACAACTTAAATAGAACTTGCGAATTTATGCCCTCAACCTGTAACTTCATGTGCATTTTTTAATTCACATCAAAAATAAGTTTTAAACACTTGAGCCTTTACCTCATCTTCTATAGGAAATAAGTTCCTGCTGGAACAAGGCATCTTGACATGTACATCATCCCAGGCATCCTGAAATCTAGTGGGATATGGAACAGGAACTTTATCCTTTTGAAGAAGATCTGTCTGTTAATGGGAATCAAAATAAATGACATTAGTATGGACATTCCACGTGCGCAAACCAAACAGTCTTATGATTAATAATACAAGTATGTCTACTCTATATATTCAGGATAAACACTGAGATGAAATCACAACAAAATCTCTTAAAATCACATGTGAATTTCAATTTCAATTAATATTAAATTCTTGACTTATTAGGTTTAACATTAACTTCTTGAATTGTTAGGTATATTACTATATCTGTGCTGTGATCTGAATAGAAGAGAACTGATCAAACCCTAATCATCACGGTGTGATGGCCAGGAACATTCTTCAGTGGAGGAAGTGGTTCGCCACATTCTGGCATCCTCTTTAGCTCACTTATTGGTGTCCCGAGCCAACTGACTTCAGAAGGGTTAGGTTCCTTTTCTGTATCTTGTTTCTCTGGAGACTTTTCTGACCTGCGTCGTTTCCCAGGAAAACCTGGTGATGACACCCCCGAAAAGAAGTCTGTAATTTTAGAATTGAGTTTGACTGAACCATCGGAGGTTGCTGGGAATGTGTCCATTTTTGTTGTTTCTAAATCATCATCACTTTGAAGCAATGTTGGTGTAAGATCACTCCCTGCAGAATGTTTGGCAGCTGGTGATACAGGAGGATCTTGATCTAAGTCTGTTGGAGTTAATGGCTGGGTTTCTTCATCTGTGTCAGTGACAAAAAGTATTTCAGCTTCTTTGGACTCTAAAGACTGAGCTGAGGTGCTTTGAAAACCATCATCATCCATCATTTCTTCATCATTTTGGGTTTGGCACACATCTCCTGTACTCGAGGTTTCCATTGGCTTGATCAACCATCTTTCAAGAGTATTTCTGAACTTTTGTTGCTGTGTTGGGCCAATTCTTTGAAGGCGACCTTTCATTTTGACACCTCTTAAGTCACCTGCTCCACTTGTTTTTGGCCTTATTACCACCTTTGTCTCGGTTTTATTTCCCATTCTCTCTCGATCTGAAGTCGCAGCACCGACGCTCTGACTACTCGAAAGTGAGCCTGACAAATAAAACACAGAATTTTTATTTTACAAAGGGGGGATACTGCAATGTAGTAATATGCTCTGCAGGGGGAAAAAATATTTTTAGACAAATACCTCCACGAGAAGATGAAGAAGACAATGGAGCACTTGTTTCCACCTTTAGTCGTTTTGCTAAAGGTTCTAAGTCTGTCAGTGCAGTCATTCTACAAAAGAATAGAACAACACATAAAACATGTCCGTGCCGTGCGGGTTCAATTTAAACTTGAAGACTGCAACGTACATGTGCACTTACAGGAGAACTTGAGCTGACGCCAAAGATAAGATGCTGTTTTTTGCACAGACTTGATTCTTATACAGTCCCTTTTTCAGTAGATGAACAAATCCTAAAAAATGGTGCGCAGCCATACATAACGCAATCTCTTTTTAGAAAGTAGATGCCAGTGCTTTAGTTATGAACGTAATTACTAAAGTAGCCCATTAACTTACTCGTTATCACACTAAAAATTTAATGCATGGCAATAAAGGGAAACATATGTTTGCATTTCACATTCAGCAGATAGTTGATAGGCTATCTACAAACGACTCACGTAGTCGTATCTTTTTGGTTAGCCTACGTGCTAACTATTTTTGAGCCAACAATGATCCAAAAAACTTGAGCAGCTGCTGTGTTAATCGATAGCGTTTTACTTGGAAAGAGACTCGAAGGACAGCATAGAAACTTTTCCAGCCTTTTGTTATTGTTAAACCGTAGACCCGTACTTTTTTACTTTTACTGAAGCGATGCTACAGTTCATTAGCACCGTCACCGGTGCCTTTAAAAACAACAAACACTTCCGTGAGAGTGACGTAAGATGTCTACGAGAAAAACGCGATAACTCAAACGTACATCACTTGAAAGCGCCTTTCGAAGGCCGGAAGTCTAACCTGCTCTTGTTGCATCACACCCATCACTCGATACTACAGACGTGGTTTACAGCATTGTTTTATAGAAACAGAGAAAATCTTTATTTTTATCATTTTACGTAAGTGTTTCACATATTTGAGGCGTATTTGAGAGCTCATTCCATTCAACAGCTCTACACACACCTGTCATAAAACTCCACACATATAATTAAAATTAAATAAGTGCACCAATGCATACCTGTTGTATGACAAATATTTAAATTGCTGTTATTTTCCACCGAAATTTATCATACCTGTCTTTCCCGTCAAATGAGGTTCCTTATTACAAGCAAGCAAAAAACAGGTAGACCTACTTTGGTTTGCCTCGAATTAGGCATAAAAGACACTCAGTAGACTCAACAGGCACAAGACCTGGATACTTTAAGGATCATCATGGTCAGATCATACACTCTGATCACTATTTTCTTGCACTTTCATGTTTTTGGGATTGACAGCAGAGGTGAGACACATTTGAGATGGGCTAAATGTTGTGTTGTTTGTCTGCTGATCTTTCTCTTTTGTACACTCTTAACAACGATTGCTCCATATTGTTGTTCATTTGTATTTTCATTATTACTCTGACTAAAAGCTTTGTTTGCTCTATAGTGTATACTTAATTCTTTCTCATTTAAAAGGATTGGATCACAGAAATCTGATTGTGTTTTGGGTGTTGGCATTTAAAAGACCTTGTACTGATAAGTGATAATGAGATTATAAGTGAGTACTTCTCAGTATTTATAGTATCTTACTGAATTTACCTTCCAGATGTTTTCCATGGGCTTTCCAAGTATTCCATTGTAAATCCTCAGATGATTCACAGATGGTCTAAGAGCATTAACAGTCCACGACATTCAAAAGAGGTGGGTACCTGATACCTGACCAAATCATCTTTTCAGCAGATGGTCTAATATGGGGCATTTAACATTTTTTGTATACATTTAGAAATATGGAGATGAGACCTTGTCATATGCAGTCACTATAGACAATAAAAAGCACATCCTTTCAGAAAAAGCACATTCTGAACAGGTATGTGCAGAATTAGGCCACACAGATATTAATGTAAGTTCCTTTTTTGTGCTTTAGAAGAATTTTTTTTCTCTTCCATTCATAGACTTCTTACACTCAAATTTTGTTCAGTATTTGCGTGATGCCACCGGTAACTATGACACATCATATCCAGCAAATCAAGTAAGTTTAAGCTCAAACTCATTTGTAAAGCTGGATCTGAATACTAGTTCTAAAACCTGTTTTTTTCTTTGCATTTCCCAGGTGCACTGCTATTACCATGGAGAAGTGGAAGGATATAAGAATTCATTTGGGGGGCTCAGCCCTGGCGCAGGGGGCCTCTATATATATATATATATATATATATATATACATATATACATCACCTCAGATCCATTTCACGCAAAAACTTATTTTCCCATGTCTTTTCAAAAGCTCAAATCACCTTGTGATGTATTCATGTCATGACTCATTTATCTTTAGTCACGTGATATTCTGAAGAACATTACAGGCCTTGACAGGGACGTCATTTGAACACGCCCCCTTTGCTTGACACAGGCTTCTGGGTTTCAGTGACAGATGTAACATCACTAGTCTAGGTTATTGAAGTGTTGTATTTTTTCTTTGAGCACTGGCAATAAATGGTGTTCTGAGTTCAGTCTTGTTTCCGTGTGCACAATTTCATCTGCACATTGATACATGACACTCAAATGATAAACGAAACAAGCCCTGGGACTTAAAGTTTTGTTAACATTTGTGTAGTTTTCTCCAACTTGATGCATAACACAGTTGTTCACATTCACAATTGTTCTGCATACGTTTTCTTAACATTTTATTTTATTACAACCAGTTGATTTTCTCATTAAGATGCTAATGTATTTTAGGAAGTATGTTATGTTTATTGTGGGGTTTTTTTGGTCAAAGTTTTGTTGATCTCTGTCTTTCCATCATAAGATAAGTTCTGCTTTTGCACTGAATTCAAGCATTTGCTAACTGATTCTGCTTTGCTCGTCTTTTCTGTAGGGGTGTGATCTTCTTTGGAAATGAGACCTTTGGCCTGGAGCCTGTGCCACACTCCACCACCAATGAACATATTCTGTACCTGTTGGAGGACGTTCAGACTGAGCCCGTCACCTGTGGAGTCGTTACTGAGGCTACTTCAGTGCCGAGCCACGAACCCTTTGAGCCTGGACAATCCCTGACTTCTCTGCTGCGGGTTAGGATGCTCATTTCTTAATTAAATATATATTTACAGAGGGAATAGTTTTTAAAGAGTAACTCATTATTAATTTTTGCTTTAACAGAGAAAACGCAGTTTATCACAAACCAGTTATGTGGAACTGGTGCTGGTAGTGGATAATCTCAGGGTGAGTGTGTTTCCAGTGTATTACCCTGAATCCACCAATGTGTAAATAATGATTTGGCCCAACAGTTTTGCTTTCATAGACTAGCGAAAGTACAAGAGCATAATAGTTTTCAGCTTTTTCCCCCCAGAAATGAACATTTCTACTGTAAAATATAGAGCTGAAACCTTTGAGTAGCCTGTCAATAGTAACATCATTAATAATTAATCATATCAGTGATGTGTTAATTGTGTTGACAGTATACTTTTAAGAAAAACAATGCAACAGCGGTGAGAGAGGAGATGGTGCAAATGGCTAATCTACT